ATCCAAGCTGGAGTGCAGTGGCATGATCTTGGCTCACTGCAACCTCCACCTCCCAGGTTCAGGTAATTATCCTGCCTCAGCCTCCCAAGTAGCTGGGATTATAGGTGCCCGCCACCACGCCCAGCTTATATATATATATATATATATATTTGTATTTTTAGTAAAGATGGTGTTTTGCCATGTTGGCCAGGCTGGTCGTAAACTCCTGACCTTGTGATCCTCACAAAGTGCCCCGGCCTCACAAAGTGCTGGGATTACAGATGTGAGCCACCACACCCAGCCAATTTAGGCTTTTTCTAACATATATCTCAAAACCTTCCAGCTTCTATTCATTACCCTGTAAGCCACGTTCACATTTTTGGTTGTTCATTACAGCAGCATCCCACTCGCAGTACGAATTTCTGTCTTAGTCTGTTAGGGCTGCTATTACAAAAATACTACAGACTGTGTGGCTTATAAACAGCAGAAATTTATTTCTCACAGTTCTGGAGCTAGAAAATCCAAGATCAGGGTGCTGGCAAATTCAATATCTGGTAAGGATCTGCTTTCTAGTTCATAGATGGCTGTCTTCCTGCTGTGTCTTCACATGACAGAAGGGAAAGAGAGCTCTCTCTGGTTCTCTTATAGAGTACTAATCCCACTCATGACCAGATCGCCTCCCAAATATCCTGCCTCCTAATACCATCGCGTTGTGGATCAAGATTTCAACATATTAATTTGGAGAGGGACACAAACATTTAGTCCTTAACATAATTCTTAACTGTTTTGAAGGTAGCTCATATCTTCCCCAAGTCTTTGTTTAGATGTTGAATGAGGCAAATGCAGTAGAAGGCAAGGTAACAGAGTAGAAACAAAGAATAGGCTTTGGAGACAGGCAGTCCTGGGATCCACTTCCAGACTGCCACCTACCAGCTGTGTGGCCTTGGACAATCTGACCTCTTTTGAACTCTGGATGTTTAAATACTATTGTCAGCCTCCCTGCCTTATATTAAGATTTAAATGGGGCACTGTAAGGAAAGCTCCTTACACCATGCCTAGCACTCTGAAGCTCCTGCAGAAATGAGCATTGATATAGACTGTTGCTCCCTTTGAATCTGGCTTTCTTGTCCTCAGTTTGGCAACTTTCCTCCATCTCTAGCTGGCGGATCAGCAGGAATGAAAGACAGATACTCTTGGAGAGCCACCTGTCTTTGCTATGTGTTGTTTTGGGTTGTCCAGTGGGAGGCAGGAACTTGGTGAGAATGACGAGACACAGAGGACAAGTAAGAGTTAGAAAAAGGCATCCAGCTAGCGATTAGAAAACACTGTCAGAATAAGGACACTTCACCCACATCACTATACACCTTTCTAAATTGATTTCATTTTAGGGCTGAACACTTGCCATGTGAAAAGTCCTATGCTCAGTACAAAGACACACGAGATATGGTCCCTGATCTCAAAGAGCTAAGAAGATAGCTGGAAAGACAGTGCAAACCCTTGAAAACCCAAATGCTGACACAAAACTCTACTAGAGAATTTGTCCCAAGGACATATCTCTACATAATGGTTGTAAAGAGGCTGTGCTTCTGTGGATTGTTGGCTTGGATTTGGCTAAGAGACAGTATTCTACCACTCACCTGGAGTTGGATGTTGAAAGATATTTTAATTTGCAGAATTATGTTATAACCACAAGAGACCATTCAGTGGTAGCAACATGTTCAAGTCTTTTCTTAAACCTTAAAGTGGATGATACTGGGAATGCTCAAGCGATACAGAAGAGATATGTATAGGGAAGTTGTATCCAGGAAGCTTTTAATAGAACAGACTCCCAATGGTGAAATCGTACTAGGAAAACAAGGAAGAAATGTGGATCATCCGTTGTAGAAATACGATTGTGAATAATGGATAGTTGAGGGAAGCCAAGGATACATGGTTACATTGTATCATCTAAAAATTCATGTCTTTCCCAGAACCTCAGAATCTGACTTATTTGGAAATTGAGTTGTTGCAGATGCAGGTAGTTAAGATGAGGTCATACTTGAATAGGGTGGGCCTCTAATCCAGTATGACTTATGACTTTGTAAGAAGAGAAAGCAGAGACACAGACACATACAGAGCAAACACCATGTAGAGACACAGAAACACAGGAGGAGAGAGTGCAGTGATGCATCTGCAAGCTGAAGAATGCCGACATCAGAGGCTAAGGAAAAGTCATGAAGCTGGTTCTCCCCTAAAGCCTTCCAAGAGAGCATGGCCCTGTCAACACCTTGATTTTGGATGTCTGGCCTCCAGAACTGTGAGAGAATGAATTTCTGCTCTTTTAAGCCACCCAGTTTGTTAGTCCTTTGTTATGGCAATCCTAAGAAACTAATACATCAGGGTACCCTGGCTCTCTAGACCCACTTATTTCTGCTGAATTGTGACCTTGCAATTTTCCAGATACCCCCAACTTCTGTCCTAAGCCTCCCTCTGATTCTACATCTACAGTGACACCCCAAGATTTCTGGCCCACTCCAAAAATTGCCTTTCTCCCACTCTTGCCACCACCAAGGAATCTAGTGGAATGAATGTGGACTCACCACCTGGGTACCAGAAAGGGGTGACACTGATGGTGAGTGTGCATCCATGAGGCAGTCACTACAAAGTCTGAGTAAATTTCTACAGCTGCTACTATGGGCACAGCCCTCAGTCGAGGTACAGCTGCCACTAGTACCAACCCTGGAGAACACTGGTAAAGAGTAAATGGTTGGGTCCATCCTTTACAGCATGACCTTGGCAGAAAGAGACAATGTCCTGCAATCTCTGGACATTTGCTTAAATTTGCTGCTAGCCTCAACCCCAGGGGAATTCTTCCATAAACAGTATTTTTGGTTCCCTTGAAAGTTATTGAGTTTGATTAGGTCTGTGACTTGCGTTTGAGAGAATCCAGGATTTGTCTTCATGCCTAGCCTGGTGCTTTGGAAGAGATCTTGCATGGAATCTCCCATTGTTTGACCTGATAGGGTTAGTCTACCACCATGACCCTATTGGACTATGTCTGGAAATGCAGAGTTGCAAGCCAGAGGCTCCCTGACCCCCAAGCTCATGATCTATTGGTCATCATCGTTGTAATTAGAAGATACTGCTGTTGCTGATTATGTGTGTTGGTGCAGAAGTAGTTGGGTTTGGATGGGGTATATCTAGAGCTGCATACCAATATAGTAGCCAGTAGCCACATGTAGCTATTTACATTTAAATTTGAATTATTTAAATTTAAATGCAATTTGAAATTCAGTTCATCAGTCACACTAGCTGCTTTTCAACTGCCCAATAGCCACATGGGGCTAGTGGCTGCCATATTGGAGAACACAATTATGAAATATTTTCATCATCGCAGGAAATTATACTGGACAGTGCCAGTCTACAGTTATTTGCTTTTCCAAGCTTTCCCACACACAGCTCTCTCTCTCTTTTTTTACTAAGTGCAGTTTTCTAAGTATTGAGAATATGTCAGCTCCATAATAAGAGGAAACATGATTTAATCTCTTACTGTCTGTTAGAAATAATAAAATATATGCGTCTATTTTTTAAAAGAGGAAAAATGAGTATTGCCAGACCAATGTTTCCCAAGTTGTAATGTGGACGTATATCACCTGGGCTCTTGTTGAACTGTAGGTTATGATTTAGCAGGTGCAGGTGGGGCCTATGGTTCTTCTTCTGGTTCACAGACCACAGCTTGAATAGGGAAGAGTTGCAGCGTGTGACTTGTGAGTTAGGACCTTATTGAAGCTTCAAGGACCAACAAAATAAATACAGCAAGTGGGCTTTAAATGGAAAGACAGAAGCTGAAGGAAATATTCTTATTGCCCAACACCAGAAGAATTAGACCAATGCCCATACTTTAGTCTGAATGTGAGACAGCGTAGCAAAGATGAGCTATGCAGCATAGCAGAATTAAGAACTGGGGCTGGGTGCAGTGGCTCACACCTGTAATCCCAGCACTTTGGGAGGCTGAGGCGGGTGGTCACGAGGTCAGGAGATCAACACCATCCTGGCTAACACAGTGAAACCCTGTCTTTACTAAAAATACAAAAAAATTAGCCAGACGTGGTAGTACGCACCTGTAGTCCCAGCCACTCGGGAGGCTGAGGCAGGAGAACTGCTTGAACCCGGGGGATGGAGGTTGCAGCGAGCCGCGATCACACCACTGCACTCCAGCCTGGGTGACAGAGTGAGACTCCATCTCAAAAAACAAAAAGAAAAGAAAAAAAAAAAAACTGGATGCCCTCTGGAGCCTTGCTGTCTAGATTTGATTCTTGACTTCATGACTTCCTAGCTGTGTGTCCTTAGACACACTATCATGATGCCTCACTTTCCCTATCTGGAAAATGGGAATAATACTAGTACATTTTTCACAGAGTAGTTGTGAGGACTCAGTGAGTTAACAGATTTCAAATACTTAAGACAGTGTCTAGCACACAGTAAGCACCGTACCTGGTTGATAATAAATGCATGTAACATTCTGCTTCTGACAAGAGAATATGCTTTATTCTGGATGTGTCAATACATTTCTGACCAGTTGTACATCACTTGGCTCGAAACAGGACCCTAATTTCTCCCCTGAGGATTGAAGAAGGGATGGGAGGTGGGGGATAATGTGTTCTGATGAAAGATTGGGTCCATGAAGCATCCTGGGTTATAGTACTAGTGAAAAAATTACAGAGTCAAAAGGTGGGTCCATAATTGCTAGGAACGGTCCAGGGAGCTTAATCAATGGCATGGTAGACAGCAGCCATTTGAAGGGAATGCCAGTGACCATCACTTAACATGCCTCCTTAAAGAAACTGTTCATCATTGGTTACTGTTGGTGTACCAAAGTCTGCATTTGGAATTTGTGCAGCTTTTGTAGAATCTGCCCCTTAAATATGAGATGTTTCCTTTTGGTGAGTGACTGCAAAACAGATTTGAGTCACTGAAGAGAATATGACACAAGCTTTTCTCTGGTATTGATCTTTTTTAAACCTTCTTCCTTCACCCCAAAGCAAAGAGCCCAGCCAACAGCGAGTAAAAAGATGGGGCTTCTCTTTCGATGAGATATTGAAGGACCAGGTGGGGCAGGACCAGTTTCTACGATTCCTGGAGTCCGAATTCAGTTCAGAAAACCTCAGGTAAATCTCTCTAAGTTTGAGCTGTGTGTGGAACGTGTGTGAAGAAATTTGCATAATCCGTCTCTCCATCTCTCTTTCTCAATGAAACATTATCAGGGTTCAAATTCAAATGCCAGCTAATCTGGCTGAGGTTGAAATAGAGAAGAACAAATTAAAATATGCAACTCTGTCACCACCATAATAGCACCTACTAACACCAGCATACTTCAGTTCAAGTCTATGTGACCTTTGTTCAACTAATTGGAAATAAGTCTTCAATAATAATTAGATAGTCGAATGAATTTGACAACATCATTCGTTAAGTACAGCCATAGAACCAGGGAGCTTCAGAGTACAGAGGCACCTCAGAGGCTGTCTCCTCAAAACTCCCCAGTCTGGGGTCCTGAATATCTGAGAAGCTAAACAGCAGAGGGAGGAGTCAGTGGGCTGATTTCAGAATTTCAAAGAGCAAAGTAAATATCACTCGATAACTGGAGATGTAACTGTAGCAGCTAATAAAAACATGTTTTTTTCTTTGAGAATGACTTCTGTCAACTCCAAATAGTGGTTACTCTGATCATCTGATGCCAGTGAGAACACCTGATTGTTCCTATTGGTCTATAATACCTGATGAGGGAAATGGATTAATAATTACTGTTTAATAGGAGAAAAAAATAAGATATTCAAAACCTCAGGTCCTATATGAGAGGAAGAAAAGGGGGTAAATTAAAAGGAAAAGTCTCCTTGATCATGAAAAATTTGGGAACTTGTTTATTTAGACTTTTATGGTATTAGATGAAGAATCAGAAATCTGCAGAAAATGTGACTTATCTGAGACTTACGTAGTGATCTTAGCAAACTGGTGACTTCTTAATGGGTAAGATGGAATCTCTCTCTTTCTTTATTCTTTGTACCAGGTTCTGGTTTATAGAGCAGGGTAACACCCGTCTTCCAGTGCTGTTTTCTTTAAAGATGTCTTAATAATGTTTAAATATTGTATTACTTTAAAAACTCACCGTCTCTACTAAAAAAATACAAAAAACTAGCCGGGCGCGGTGGCCGGCGCCTGTAGTCCCAGCTACTCGGGAGGCTGAGGCAGGAGAATGGCGTAAACCCGGGAGGCGGAGCTTGCAGTGAGCTGAGATCCGGCCACTGCACTCCAGCCTGGGAGACAGAGCAAGACTTCATCTAAAAAAAAAAAGAAAAAGAAAAAAAAAGAAAAAGAAAAAACTCAGAGCATGTACTGCGGGCAAAGGACTACCCCTCCAAAGTTAATGTGCAACATCCATGCACTTATTTCAAGTGAGACCATCTCGGTCCCATATGTCAATCAAGTGATATTTATGCTACACCTGTGCTGTATCAAGCCCTGTGAGAGTCTGCTGAGAGACACAAGTCAAGATGTGTGATCTTTGCCTGCAACGACCTTGTAGGTCCTTAAGGAAAAAACACAAGAAATTATTGAATCATTGAATGTCTATAAATGAGTGTAAACTCTAAGAACCATTTTGAAAGCATTTAAAGGAGAAGAATCAAAGCTGAAGTGGTTAAATCATAAGCTGGACTTTGAAGAATGCACAGGATAATAGTAGACAAAGAAGGAGAGAGAATATTCCAAGCTGGAGGACCAAATGAGGAAAGGGGTGGCCGATGGGCCTCTCCCATTCCGTAAGGTCCTGGGAGGACAGGTAGATGCCGACTAGCTGTACGGAGCGTGCTGTTCTAGGCATCCACGTGTCTGTTATAAACCAGATAAGGCTAAGTATCTTATTTTGGGTTACTATACAAGAGCCTTTCCTTATGCTGAGGCATGATTCCAAACACATCTCAGAGCTTCACTTCAATGCCTAATGAAGTATTTGTAACAGAAGGTTTGATTTCTAATACTCTTCACTAGGGTGATGCTCAGACTAGCCTCCCGGGTATAGGAAGGAGAGCTCTCTGTGGCCAGCTTGATGGACCCAGGTGGCCTCTGTGTAGCCAGCTCAGTCCCAGTTTCCACCCCCTCCATGATCCCTATGAGCCACCCCTGGGAGTCCTTCTCATCTCCCTTTCTTACCTGTTCCCCTTGGGTCTGCAAGATGGAGTGGCATAGAGGCTCCCTTTACCTAACTACCTCTAAGCCCACAAGTAGCCTCAGCACCCTCTGCTGCATGCACTATTGCAGAGAGCTTGAAGAATGAACCAGAGTTTGGTCATTGTGAGGGTCCCAGGAGCATCCACTGGCTCAGCTGCCCCCTTGCCTGGTCAGAGCATTCATTCCGGAAAGCCCTGCATGTAGCCAGAACCACATATCAGTTCAGACTCATTTCACAAATTATGCATCACACTTAAAACCCAGAGTGCACCAAGGAGTGTGTCCCTGGCAGGTATTCAGTGCTTCTTCCTGCCATCACCTCCTGAGCCTCTGCCAGCTCCTTTCCCCGTGCCAGGAGGGCTACATTTAATCTTGGGTGAAAGCATGCATGTGAGCATGTGTTCATGTACCAGAGCCCAAGCCACACCCCCAGCATGCAGAAATCCACTTCAGAGGGTCACCTCTGCTCCATGACAGGAAAGGGAGTAAGGAAAATAGAAAGCAGGGAGGAAAAGGATAGCCAAGAGCCTCTAGAATCCTCTCTGGATGCCCAAATTCCATCTTTATGATATTCAGCATAACTGGATACATGGTGGGTGGGAGAGAAGCTCAGCTGTAAATCACATAACTGTAGGACTCTTCTGTCACCCGTCACGGGGCAGCCTCTTCCCCATTCCTTTGTGTTCATTCCTTCAGCTGCAGATATCAGCTTGGCACCAACCGTGGCACAGGGCCTGCGGATTCAGAGCTGACTGAATAAATATCAGGGCAGCTAGGCACGGCCGTACAGATGCACCTCCACTGTGGCCCATGCCATGGAGGCCCCTGGGAGTTGTGCAATATGGCACAACTTGAGGATCCTGCCAACCTGCCACGTTGGCCGTGCTGGAGTCGTTCCTTCTCTGCAAGATTGGTGAGGGGCCCAGGTCACTGGCATTGGAGCATGGCAGGAAAAAGCTGACCAGAACTCACCTGGGTAGATTACAAAGTGCTTCTCCACTTCCTCTGTCCTCCTGTGCTCCCTCTCATCTCTCCAGTGAAAGGGCTGCTTAGATCATAACATTTTTGCACAACCCATGGGGTGCCAGTTAAGTAGCCAAGCAGCTGAATTGGTATCAGAGCTTCAGAATGTGGAATGGAGGAGCCCTGAAGTGTCACCCTGGATCCTTTAAGGAATGATTTCTATGATGATGTAATAGAAGTTGGCGTCCCCTTTGATCAATTTCTTCTGGTTGGGTCTGTGAGATGAGGATGGGGGCGTCATCTCCGTGGACTGGGTGGGGTATGACCAGCAGTGCATTTTGCTGAAGCTGTGAGCCCTCTGTGGCAGGGTCTACCTCTTTTCCTCCTTTTCTGACCCACCCTGAGCTAGGTGCAGGCTCCCTTTGGACCCACAGACAGCTGTTTGCTGAGCGCCTTGGGAATGCACATGGCTTCTGTCCACAAGGCAGGGGCCTCACAGCTCTGATGCAGGGAACTCCACTCTGTTTCTTGGCCTCATCCTTCTGCCTGCTTTGTGCATTTTCCCAGAATAATGACAGTCTCTCCTTGCCATCTTTTCACCCTCTCTCACATCTCTCCTACACAAATCTTTGTCCTCCCTGGCTTGACACCCTCTGCTGCATGGCACAGAATGAGTTAAAAATCAAAACCCACAGCAAAGAGTGTCCCCCGTACATTTTTTATGAGCTGTAACATCTCCTGAGAGAAGGTAGTTGTTCTTCTAACCTGCAGATTGATGATCTGAGTTCCACACAGTGTCGGCTGGAGGGAGAAGCAATTAAAAGAGAACACAGTGGGGTGCCAGGTTCGTCTGGAGAGCTCTCGCTCTGGCAGTTGCCCTGAGTCCTAGGAAGACCTCAGAAGGTTCACTAGGCCCAGCAGGATCCACCACTTACCAAACCCATGATTAATAGGAACAGAGCTGACTTCCACGACACCACAACCATCTGCAGTGTTTCAGCCACTGCCCAGTGAACAGAACTCAGCTTCAGTGGTGCTGGGGGTGGTTACTTACTTATGTAGGCACCCGGGAATTTCAGCCCCGCCAGGAACTAAACCAAGTTTAAGCCCTGCTTCCTACATCTCCGGTTGACCAGCAGAGGGCACAGAAACACTTTCTTCTCTCCTGGAGTTTGCTTTTTCTCTGGGAATGAACCAAAAGCTGTATTTTCTAACCCATGAAAATTCTAGTTTATGAAAAGTTAACCGGTGACTAAGGGGCTGCCCAGACCTCCTGGTAGGATGGAGAATGATCAAGGGCCGAATGGTTTGTCTTACCCAGCCAGCCTTGAGAAAGTCCTTTCCTTGAAAGCCTCTAAGGAGAAAGGAGGCTCCCGCTGGGGCAGCCCCTAGATGGTCCTCCAGTCCTGTTCTCCACAGCTTCCCCCCAGTGGTATCTGAGCCCAGGCTGTCTCACTCCAAAAGCTAGTTTCCCCGCCAGCATTTCTAAGTCATGAACACAGATCAAATGCCTGCACAGGGGCTGCCTCCCCACTGCTGCTATGACAATCGGCAGGGACCAGGGACGAGGCAGGACAGGTGGTCTCCCAGATACCAGTCCTTGTGTCCTGCCAGTCACAACGGCCCTTCTGCTGCAAGCCGTGGAGGCTTAGTACAGGATGGGTGGATTTCATGCGGCTACTGGAATTTCACTCCCTGCCACTGCCCTCGAGGAGAAGCGGTACCTGCAGGTTTTTGATAAGAGCAGAAGCTTCCAAAGCCTCAGTGGGCCTCCCATGGACAGCAGATGTGCAGAGAGGAGCTGCTGTGGCTCTCTGCAGGGGGAAGTGTGGCCTGGGCAGCCTGGGTTCCGAGTTCCCGGCTCAGGCCTGTGGGGCTCGAAGATGGCCAACACTAACGAAAGCCTGTTCTGAATTTCAAATTGGCACAAAGGTTCCTCAAAACCAGTGATGGTGAACACATACGGGACGTCAGGATGCTGTTGTGACAGCAGTTTTGCTGTTGCCTGAGAGAGACAAGGCAGGTCAACTCCAAGGCAGACAGAAGGCAGGGGAGAGTCCACAGTGTGTGCAGGGGAGAAAACTGCTGTCTAAGGAATGTTACCCCATACCCCACCTCTGCCTTCTTCCCCTTTCCCTCTCCTTCCCTCCTTTTCTTTCCCCTCCTCTTCATCTTCCTCCAGCATGCCTGTTGTTTTCACTAGTACTTAAAAAAATTCTTGGTTTTATGTGACAAAGAAAACCTTTTTATTTTTACATAAAAGTTTATTAAATTTGATTCTGGGACCTGGTGCAATGGTTCACGCCTATCATCCCAGCATTTTGGGAGGCTGAGGCAGGCAGATTACTTGAGGTCAGGAGTTCAAGACCAGACCAGCCAACATGGTGAAACCCCATCTCTGCTAAAAATGCAAAAATTAGCTGAGCATGGTGACATGCCCCTGTAATCCCAGCTACTCAGGAGGCTGAGACAGGAGAATTGCTTGAGCCTGGGAGGCGGAGGTTGCAGTGAGCCAAGATGGAGCCACTGCACTCCAGTTTGGGCGACAAAGTAAGATCCTGTCTCCCCACCAAAAAAAATGATTCTGAAATTTGTATTTCCATCAGCTCCGGGACATCTCTGTATCCAGCTGAGTGATGTGCATTTTCATGTGGCCCCCAAACCATCCTGCAAAAGGGACCCTGAGTCCTCAGGAACCGCAGAGAGCGTGCAGAGCTCCCGGGGTCCTCAGGGCCTTCCCAGAGGGGCTCACAGCTCCTCCTCAGTGCTGACAGAGATGACAGAAGGTGACCTCCCATGTGGCATTGATTGAGGGGGCAGGAAATCACCCAGGTGTCATCCATTTGTGTGAGGAGTTGCAGGGGCCGGGGGCATGGGAAGACGCTGACCCAGAAGGCTACTTCCAGCCGGGGATTCAGCCCAGGCGGCCTCCCTGTGTGAACCTGGTTCTCCTGTCTGCCCAGCACGCGGCTGAGGAGCACTCACTGACTTCGTCTCTGGACACTTGACCCCTTCTGGTCCTTGGAAAAACCAGCACTGGCTTCTTCCTTTAGAGCCAGGTTCCCGCATCGTTCACCTACTGGTCAGACGCGGCCTTCCAGGCAGAGAAAGCCTTGTAGGTGCTCTTGTCGGCAGATGGCCGTTTTCACCTGCAAGCCTCCCAGCCACTTCCTTCTTTTCACGGCAGGCCTGAGAGAGTGGACAGAGGGCCCTACGAAACCTAGGGCAGGCAAGGGAGATGGAGGAGACCAGTGCCCCAGCTCGAGAGTCAAGGGCCCGCCTGAACAATGAGGCAGGGGAACAGCTCCTTTCAAGCCCTTCCTTCCCCACCGTCTCCGGACTTGGGATAAAGGAACACGACTACTTTCCTCTCACCCAGAAGCCAGAAGGACCTGAGCACCCAGGACTTGCGGCTGTCAGAGAGCTGCAGAAGGGCAGGGGACGCCAGATGGCAGCAGCAAGAGCTGGGCAGTAGTATCTGCCCAGGCCATCTGCAGAGAGAGGGCTGGAATCCAAGGGATCACGCTGGGCCAGCACTGAGCCTGTGGCCGCCACACTGACCCTTCCTCAGCTCCCCCTCACAGGACCTGAAAGCATTTCTGAGTTAAGTCTGGATAGCAGGATTTCCAGAGCCGTGCCACATATCCCTCCATCCACTCGGTGCCCGTTTCAGAGATGAAGAGAGAGGCACCCAGAAAGGCGCACCAAGGCAAAATACGGCATAGACAGGACGAGGGCAGAGCCTGCTTCCCGATCTGATGGAATCTGTGAAGCCTTCTCTGCCTTACGCTTGGCTCTACAGGGTCACTGAGGGGTCGCTGTAAGGATATCATCAGAATCCTAAATGGCAAAAAATGGCAAATCAGGGGAAGAGTTGGAGCCCAGCATTTGGGGACACACACACAGACACACATACACTCACACACACACACACACACAGTCTGCTCGCCTTGCAGAAATGGGATTGCATTACTCCAGTCTGCCACTGAGTGGCACCTTTGGGCCATGCACTTGGCTCCAAAGACATTTCTCTGAACAGCAACTGAAAAACATGTTTAACCACCGCCCCCCACCCTCGCGCGCACGCGCGCGCGCACACACACACACACACACACACACACACACACACACACAAAACCCAAGTACAACTTACTTTGGATGAAATTTGATGACAGATTGAATGCACTGTCCGCACTTTCCACCATGTCGTGGTTCAACTTTGCTTGTCCCTCCCTTTCTGTTGACTAGACTACCTGTGATTCCCACTGCTGTGGGAACCAGCACAGGACCTACTCTCTTACTCACTGATGGGGGAGCTGGCCTGTCCGTTCACAGGGCAAAGGATATGACAGCCAGACCTGGATCCTGCTGCAAGGCTGCCTTGGGAACCATCCTCAAGACCCAGTAGCTGTTGTCCAAGCTTTGGCTCTGGCTGCTGCTGCTCTCAGCAGAAAAGCACTCCCTGCTCCCATGTGGATGCTGAGGGATTAAACAGAGGCAAATATGGAAGTGAGCAGATTTTTCTCTCTTTCCCTCTGCAGAAGGAGAACCATTCTGCAGAGAAATTTTCATGGTATGCCTCTTCAGCATTGTTCCAGATGCGCCCATCTTCACTCTGAAACCCACGTATTGAGAGCCTACTATTTGCCAAGCACCATGCTGAGCACTGATGTGCACTGGCTCAGTTTCTCCATCTATAATAGGAATGGCTGGTTTATTCTTACACAGATAGTCTTTACGATTCCAGAATCCTGCCTCTTCTGTGATCTTTCCTCCATGTTGATGCCATCAGTTGATCCCAACTAGATTTGACAAAGGGACTCACACTGTCTGCATGGTGGCATGTATGTAGCACAGGTGTTCGCAACCAGGAATGAGTTCATCTCCCAGGGGACATGGGGCAATGTTTTGAAACATTTTTAGTTGTCAACACTTGGGAAGTGGGGTTGTTATTGGCATCTAGTGGGTAGAGGCCAAGGTTGCTGCTAAACATCGTACATTACACAGAATAGCCTCAACAACAAAGAATTATCCAGCCTGAAGTGGCAATAGTGCTGAGGTTGAGAAATCTTCATGTAGAGGGAGAGAAATCTCGTTTTGATAACGAGAAGCACATTGATCTTTTAATATGCAATTCTTTTCTGTTCTGCACAATAGGAACACCTTTGATATTTTCAGCAATCTCCATGGTCTTTGCAGTCCCACATAGTGGCATCAGGGTAGGCTGAGAGATGCAGCAGAATGGATTTCATGGGACATCAGCTCTGGGGCCATCTCCAGCAACATCCCGATGCTGAGCCCTCTGGAACTGACTGTGTTTCTGCTCCCACTTCAGGTTCTGGCTGGCTGTCCAAGATCTTAAGAAACAACCCCTACAGGATGTGGCCAAGAGGGTAGAAGAAATCTGGCAAGAGTTTCTGGCTCCAGGGGCTCCAAGTGCAATCAACCTGGATTCTCACAGCTATGAGATTACCAGTCAAAATGTCAAAGATGGAGGGAGATATACATTTGAAGACGCCCAGGTTTGCTTATCTACTCAAGTGGTTGTCATAAGGTGTTCATTTGTCCACTTCATTGCCTGACCTATTAACACAAGTTCAAGGCATTGTGGGTAGTTAAAATTTCATATTTGGTTATTTTTAAGTTCATCAGTGGAAATCATTTCAGATAAGTGCACAGCAAAATCCCAGGATCATTTTCCTAGAGGAGTTACGATATTACCTAGAAACCAAAATGTGCAGTTATATGCTTTATTTGTTCCAGGAAAGCCTCAAAGTGTTTTACAAAATCTGAAGCCTTGTAATAAGTCAGTGGTAGAATCTGGAAACCAGAACACAGCATTGGGGAAGTGGGTGTAGTGAGTTGGCAGGGCCATGAGTCAAACCCACATCTGTCTACCTCTGAAGCCCACACTGATAACCACCTCTCTACACTGCTTCCGCAGCGATCTCCAGCTCTGCAGTGAATATTTTTTAAGCACATCTATATTCCAGGCTCTGCGCTATGTGATAAGATACCACAAAGAACAGGCAAAAGCCCGTTCTCAGCGAGGTTACCAGCAAGTATGGGAGACAGACAAGTAAATGGGCAACTTCAACAGTGTGAAAAGTGCCCCAAATGGGTGAACCCTGGGTTAAAGCAAGCCTGCAGGAGGGACTCCCAACCCTGTAGGACACAATTAGGATGCTCACAGATGCTGATGATGCTGGCTAAAGAAACAGGAACCACCCTAACCAGCAGACTAAATTTTGACGGCTGGGAGGTGCCATTTCTAAAAATAAGCATTGGGTTGGTTTCTTACTTCCTGGCCCCTAATTTCTATTTCCTGTCACCATCCCACACCCAGTGACAGGGCTTAAGATTTTGCTTATCTCCTTGACCCCACTTACGTCTCTCACGTCTACGGCCCCCGGTAAAGAATTTGGGTAGTTTGCTCTCTTGCAGACATTATTGTCTGATTTAGGAAACTCAGTGTAGCTGCACCAATGCAAATAATGGGGTGAGAACACAGTGTCGCTTATCATCCGGATTTGCCTTGTCATTTGCTCAGAACTTCAAGATGAAAACACCTACCAGCCTCAACACCATAACTATCTTCTTCTCTCCCCTGGTCACGAGCTCCATCGAATGCCTGTGCCAATCATGAAATCATGACTCCTTCATATACCCCTTGCAGCTTCAAAGCAGAATGTTTGAGTCATGAGAGCTCTTTGCTGAGATATTTTTGCTTATGTGTATGTACGTATACTTTGAAGCACCATATTGACATGGCCAGAGAGGAGAGTGACAGGGAAGTTCCGTGGGGGTTTCCTGCATGAGCGAGCTGAAGCTCAAAGCTCCAATATTTATGAAACACAAGAAGAGTGATACTGGTGAGAACCTTGATGCATCTAGCACAGTGTTACCACTCCAAGCATGACATAGGAGGGATTTATTTTAATTTTCTATTATGAAAACTTTTAAACACTTGGAAAAGTGGAAACAGCAAAACAGCAAACCTTTATAGACCCTCATCCAGCCGTAAAAATCATCAGTACACGTCTGATCTTGCTTTATCTCTAACCCCACCTGCTTTTTCACCTGCCACCAAGTTACTTTAAAACAAATCCAAGATATTGCAGCATTTCATCTGTAAACTTAGATATGTATCTCTTACAAAAAGGATCCTTTTGTTTTAACATTGCCACAATATCCTTTATCTCCCTCCCCTTCTCACATCCCCTTGCAATGTATTTGATGAAGGAATTAGATCCTTTGTCCTATAGAGTTCCAAGCTCTGGATTTTTCTGATTGCAGCCCTGTGGTACTATTTAGAATGTTCTTCTATCATCTCTCTTTCCTATAAATTAGTTTTTTTAGATATTTAATCAGATTTAGTCTTGATTTTTATGGACAAAACTACTTCATAGATTGTGTGGTGCTCTCCTATCTGAAGGCACATGTCTAGCCACCTCTCTTTTTGCCCTTTTTGCAGATATTGATGTCTATCACTTATATCCATTAGTTAATTAGAGGTTACAAAATGATGACATACTAATTTTATTCTTTCTTCACTTATTAGCTGGAATACTTTCATAAAGAGAAACTTCCCTCCACCACTATGGGATTAACTAGGAGTACAATTCACATAAGAAAAGCAGAATAAATGTTTGATTCTCTCCCTTCATTTTCCAGTTTTCAAAATGAGTGGTTTACTGTTATCTTCCTATGGTAAACATTAGGGTCAACTGTTTTGATTTTACTATCTTTGTGAACTCATGGGTTTCAACATATGTGCTAGGTTTTAATCTGTTTGCTTATTATTTTTATTGATGCTTGGATTTTGCCATCTCTGGCCAGTTGGCTCTTTCTGGCACAGCCCTAGTGATCTTTGATGTCATCCAAATAGCAAGGAAGCTAAGATATTCCAGTCTTTGCCCTTACCCAGAATAAGCCATTTCTCCAAGGACCCCTGATTCCTCTTAGTGGCAAATGGTATTTAGAGACTAAAATCTAGGCACTTAAGAATGTTTCATTGTTCCTAGATAGTTTATCATATCTAGCCCTTTTCAGTTGACCGAGCTAGGAAATGTGTTGTTGTTTATAATAAAAATACATCATGAGTTCATACTGATACTTTTAATTCAAATTCTGACCTACAGGGGATTTTATTTAACCACTCGTTTCTTACATCTGTGCCTCTTTTCTCTACCCTGAGAATCCTGACTTTCAAGGGCACTGTGGATGATAGCATAATGACTCATTTGCTTTATACTACACAGAACAGCCTCTAAACCACAACGCTAAAAATACAGCAACAGGGTGATTATCGCCTGGTTCTTTAATTGTTGCATACTATTCTGTTGTGTGGAGGCACCATAGTTTAGTCAACCAGTCCTCTCTTCTTGGACATTTATGTTGTTTCTACTTCAAGAAAGGTTTGATGGAAGAAGTGGGGAAGTCAGCCTAATGAAGGTGAGATATTGACGAGTTTCTCAACATCCAACCTCCATTAGTACAGTGCTCTACCATTTTCCAGGTACTTCTAAATGCATTCTATCTCATTTCCACAGCAATCTGGTGAGGTAGATTAGACATGAGGATATCTTAAGCATCCCATCATCTTCATTATCTGCTAGGATTAGTCTCCCATGAATTCAAATAAAACTCTTCCAAAGCCAATCCCTATTTTCAGCCCAATTCCCTATCACTTCTGAAGTGCATTTCCACCATAAATATATAAAGTGTTCCTTTCTAGCAGAGTGACCTGGACAAGTTACTTAAATTCCCTGAGTCTTCCTTTCTTCCTCTGTAGAACAGGGTTGCAGCGGAGCCTGTGCATAGGGGTGGAATGGGGACCAGATGAAAGGAAGCATGTCAACCACTAACAGTGTCTGGCCTACAGTAAGACAGAGTAAATACTACCATCTTATTTTTCTAATGTCACTAATATTCTCTTTTTAAGCTTTTATGTTTAATGTATTTGGTGAAAATTTTAAAATAATTTTGTGTAACCTTAATGCCCAGAGATAACCCCTATTTTGGTGTATTTTCTTCCTTGATTTGTGTGTGTAGCTATGTGTAAGTTCTGCTCAGGCTGCTACAACAAAGTAGCACAGACTGGGTGGCTTAAACTACAGAAATGTGTTTATCACAGTTCTCAAGACTGAGAAATCCAAAATTAAGGTGTCAGCAGATTTGGCTGTTGGTGAGGGCTCTCTTCCTGGCTTGCAGGTGGCCCCTTCTTGCTGTGTCCTTGCAGCAGGATGTGCACTCTAGTCTCTCTGCCTCTTCTTACAAGAACACTAATCCCATCATAAGGGCCTCTCTCATGACCTCATCTAAACCTAATTACCTCCCAAAAGACCTACCTCCAAGTACCACCACACTGGGATCAGGGCTTCAACAATATGAAATTTAGGAAGACACAACATTCATTCCACAACAGGGTGATTTTGCAAATAGCGTGATCCCGTAACCTGCCCTTTACCTAAAACAGGGGTCAGTTAAAAAACTAAATTTTTCCTAAACAGAGCCAGATAGTAGACATTGCAGGCTGTGTGAGTCATGTGGTCTATGTCACAACTATTCGATTCTGCCATACAAAAGCAGCTACAGTGCAACACCATAGCAATGTAAACGACACGAGGACCTATGGCCGTGTTTATTTATGAACCGTGAAATCCAATTTCATATAATTTTTCACAAAATACAATTCTTCTTTTAGTTTTTTTTTCAGCCACTCAAAAACATAAATACTGTTCTTCACTCATGGGATGTAAAGATCTAGATCACAGGTCTGTATCTGCAGATTGGAATCCCAGGCTGTAGTTTCTGACCCTGTGCTAAACAAAATAATTTAGCACATGTAATGAAAATTATTGAAATGCTTCAAGAAATCCAGAAAGCTACAGGATAGAGGATTGGGCATGAGGGATCTTCAGTTTCGGGGGGAGAGTAAGTTAGAGGAGACTTTGTTTTGGTGCAGCCATGGCAACACAGCAATCTGAATTGTGAATGTTTCTATATCAGGATTGAGTGTTGTGGCGCAAAGGTCAGCAGGTGCCTCCTAAACTATTGGGATTACAGGCGTGAGTCACCATGTGACTTTTTTATAATTAATCTACTTTTCAAAAATCTGACTAAAGAGAATACCAGAGAGAAATTTTAAATTTCTCTCATTTAGCTTTCTGGAAAATCAAGTCATTTAGGCATCTGTCCCCACCGTCTTCTGTTGTCTAATCCCATGGTTTGTCCCTAGACATCACTCAACACTGCCTTACCTTCCTGGCCAGTGCAGGCTGCCTGCCCCAGCAAAGTAGGCGCAGTTGAGAAGTTCCCAGGTATAAAAAGGAGGTTAAAATCCTTAGCAGCCTATGACCAGCCAGGACTTGCATTCAGATAGATGTCCTCACTTGCTGGCCAAGGTTCTGCTCAGACCACACTGTCTCTGGATTGTTAGTGCTGAGGGCTTGGTGGTTGCACTGAGACCTGGAGAAGTTCTAGTCCCTAGAGAAAGGCCAAGAGTCTAGCAGTTCCTTCT